AAATATTGAATTTAGTCATTTTTAAATTGTCTTAGCCATAGTAGGGTCCAAATCGCTAATCTGACTATGGTAGTGTGCCAAAAAAGTTTGAACAAGTATATTTTGATTTGTTAAAGGAGTTTTACATGTTTTGAGTGATTATTTAGCTTGAATGCAAATAATTATATTTTCACCCCCTCGTTATGTTCTTTATGGTGGTTGAGTGGTCAATTCTTGTATTAGGAGTTGTTTGAAGCTTGTGACTAATTGGACAAGTGTATTAGAACATATTGAGTGTGGTTTAAACCCTTGTGAGGGCTAATTGCTTATGGTGTGAGATTTGGATACTTGGTTAATGGTTTTAAAAGCAAAAATGCAAAATTGTGGTCCTAGGTGTTCAAATTTTTTGTTTAGTGTCAGATTGACATGAAACCAAAATCATTAGCTAAATTATAAAATTATTGATGTGTGGGCGCTTGAATCATCTCAATTAGAGATTCAGGTCAAAGTTATGCGCATCAGAATTTCGTGATTGGGTAGTTGTCATGACATCTTTGCTCATGGCTTATAGATTTTTGGCTATAGCCAAATGACTCCCGGCTGTAGCCAAAACTTCACTGGAAGCGTTAGTCACGGTTTAATGTTCTCTAGTCATAGCCAAGTACCCCTATATTAAGTAAAAATGATCCTTTTTACCTTATTTTGATTTGTTTTTAATTCTATTTATTTTTCATGCTTTCCAAACACTTTTTACTCTAATTTATAATGGCTAAATGACCTTTTAAACTCAATTTTAAAATTTAATGATTTATGAGATCCCATCTCTACAAAGTTTTTTTACTTAGCTTTTTTGAGTTTTCATACAACCAAGGTTGATCCTTTTTCTTTCTATGACATCTTTAATTATTAAATTAGTTATAAATATCATGGTAGCTCTACCATAAGGTTAAGTATGTACTAATTATATGTTTAAGAATTAGAGATTTTATAGTTTGAACTTTGATGCATACGGCATGTTTGATAAAATGCTTAATAAGAAGAATTTTAGTGTATAATGGAAAATAAATGTGATAATTGTATGGTTGATAATTAGGTTGTTGTAGGAGGTAATTATTCTTCACTATGGTAGTTGGAATTGGAAATAGGGATTTTTGAAGAGAGTATTTCCATTAATAATTCAAGTATCAAATTGCTATCTATATTAGTCTCAAATATATCTATGAGATATTTGATGTAATGCTTAAGATATGTTGGAATTAAGATCTATCTATTCTACATCTTTGAATTAATTTAGACTATAAATTTTGGGTTGTAGATTGTGATATGTGTAAATATAATTTTTTTAAAAAATTTAGTTATATGTTCTTGAGAAGAGTTAGAAAAGCAAATCGTTATAAATAAGTGTTGTGTCAAAAGTATACATAGAAAATATTGTGGAGATTGAAGGATTAATGATATAAAATGGATTAATTTGAGAACTTGATTAATTACCATGTTTTTAAAATTGGGAAAGCAATTGTTAAAGTTGAATATGTCATTGAATTTCTTATATATATATATATATATATATATATATGTATATATATTTGGCCAATCTTTTATATATTAAATAGGGTGTCAAGAGGAAGGTTTGAGGAAAGTTTTAAGGAGCGAATCTTAGTGCTTGGAAGCATATCATATAAGTGGATAGTATTTCAACTGATTTATCAATAAAATTTTTTTTCAAGATATTTTTTTTACATAGATTATTCAATAACAATTATATTATATATTTAATATTGTGTTCATTAAATTATTTTTATATTGGAAAATTATAAAGAGATGTTGAAAGATATTTAAATTATGGCATGTGTATTTGTTTTTTCCCCTTATGAAGGATGCTTTCAAAATTGATGAGATTATTTTTATCAACTCTAGTTATTTTTGGGTTACTCAATAAATGCCAAACATGGACATTAGTTACGAAATTTTATTTTGGCAAGTTTTTTATGCTCAAAGCTATTCATGCAAGTTTGAAATTGAAAAAGGAAACTGTATTTTGATAGTGATGATTTTCTCGTATGCTTGAAAATAGATTTTAAGGAGACTTTATACAGGACACTGGTTGCTAACGACATTTTTATGAGCTCTGTTTTTACATTTGTTATTCATGGGTCTCGTACTCGCATTTATTTTCGTGGCTTCAAGCCACGTTTGATTAATATTACCTTTGTGAATTGTGTGTCCACGTTTGTTTTCGTAGCTCATGCTACATTTAGTTACTTACCCTTATAGACTGTATGTCTACGTTTGTCTTCATGGCATAAGCCGCATTTGGTTCTATACTCTCGTGGACTGTGTGCCCACATTTGTGAATTGCTCTGATAAATCTTAAAAAATATGAATTTTTAATTAATTGATGATTTCACATTCTAATGAATTTTAATTAGCCAATGTTACTATTTTCATTTATGTATTTGTGTAATTATGTTGACTTGTTGAGATCAAATGTTAAAGCTACTTTATCATTATAAATTTAAAGTTTTTTAATATTGAAGGTATATAGAACTTTTATTCCGAACTTACAAATTCGTTTACATTGAATTGCTTTCTCTTTAATTTATGTAACTATTATATTTTATTCATTTTAATTGTGCAAAATGTTATGGTTAAGACGTTATTCATTGAAAAATATTTTCTCAGATAGCTTGTACCTTTGTCAGATAATTCAAGGGATTTTACTACTGAATTGAAGTTGACACACCATTTTGGTTAATCTCTATTTTTTATGTAAAATTTTTATCTATGTAATGCACTTTTATAAATAATGTTATAGGTGCTCCATATAGGCTGTGATTAGGATTCTTGTTTTGTTAAATACTTTGTCTGTTAGTTGAAAGAAATTGAGCTCCTAATTGTTATGATATTTGTTTGAAAATTTGTATTATATAATTTTAAAAGATTCCATTTACTGGGAAGTTTTTGCCAAAAAATTTTCAAAAATATTAGGACTTCATTAAAATGAACACTATTTTTAAAATTGAAAAATTTCTTAAATTAAACTTCAAGGATGTATATTTAGGTATATATCCTGTACCGGTTACTCATATCGGGTGTGACATTCTAGGCACTTATACATGATGAAGATCAGTAGGGTCTCATTGTTTCGACAGCAACACGTCTTCAGTGTTGATTTGTAGTGTCATTTTGAGCATCTCCGATGACGAGTTTGAGGAGGTCAGCGAGGTAGGGGCTACGAGAGACGTGGGCTCTAGCTGAACTTTGATATGGGACTTGGACAAGCTCCATGGATTGATTGAAGAAGGTGCATCTTTCATCGGTGGGGGAGTTGGAGGGCACCGTCGACGTCAGAGTTTGAGGCCAAGGTGGACCAGACAATGGCAAGCCAGTAATATCTCCAAAGAGCCAAGTCCTCTCTCTCCTCCACACTCTCCCCCCTCGTCCTCTCCCTCCTCCCTCTCTCTCTCTCCCTCTCCCTCCTCCAATTTCTTCATGGTGACGAGCCTTTTCATGGCATTCTCTTGCGTCAACAAAATCCACGATCAGCCATCATGGTGTCATGCATGCATGGAAATGAAGAATATAGAGAAGAAATGGAAGAAAAGGTGAAAAATGTAGGGAGGACGTCGAAGCTATGGCTAAGATAAAGGGGAGAGAGACTATAGGAAGGAGAGAGAGAGAGAGAGAGGAAGGGGAGAGACAGGGGGGAGAGAGAAGGTGTAAGTAGGGTTGCACAAAAGACAGGATGGCACTGGACTTCACCCTAACCCGAAGTCCAGTCTCTTTCATGAAAAGGACTGAGTTAGGCAACCCGTAGTCCAGTCTTGTCTAGTGATAACCCGAAGATTAACAAGATCGGACTTGGTCCATAGGACTGGGAGACTGGTCCTGTCAGTCCAGTACTCACTTAGCTTTTTTTTTTCTCTTTTTATTCTATGAGAGGAAATAATCTATTCCAACATAATAAACTCAATTAAAATAGTAAAAAAACTTATAATAATAATAAATCCATAATAATTTCTAACAATAAGAAAAAATATTTATGTTATAATCCAAATGATTTAAATTTATAACTTTAACAAAAACAATACTCAACAAAATTCAACAACACTATATTACAACAATAATTTAGAAACAAACTTAACAAATCTTCATACAATCATTTCTTTAGCATCAATTACACTTCAAACATTTGAAAAATAAATTAATTATAATTATAATAAAAGAAATTAATAGGACTGGACTGGATCAAGTGGTCCGGATGCCTGGTCTCTTGTCCAATCCAACCCGAAGAAATAGTCTGGTCTTTTTAGTCTTTTTGGTCTTGAAGGACCAGTGACTATACAGATCAAACAAGACTGAGACTATCTCGGGTTGGACTGGATCAGATAGGACTGAAAGACTTTTGCACAACCCTAGGTGGAAGAGCGATCAATAGGTGGACGAGGGGAGGGATTTTTTAAATTATTAAAAAAATATAAAAATATATTGGTGGAACCCGTAATGCAATATTTTATAATAAGTAAATTATTAAAAAAATTTAATGTGAGCCCAACTAATGGAAAAAATTAACAATACAAACGACAGGATGAAAAATTTAAAAATTTTAATAATTAAGAGGTATAAATGATTTATAATTAAATTTAAGGTCATTGTGTGCTTTTACGATTAGTTTGGAAATAAAATTGACCTTAGTCTAAATTTAAAATAAAAACAATTCCTTAATTGTCAATTTTTTTTTACAAAATATTTATTAAAAAAACTACAAATTTAAAACATGACAATTAAATCAAATGATTTAAAGATGACCGGCTCTCCATGCTTGTGAGTATCATGAAACTGGTTCTAGTCACATACTCACATGCAAAACAGCGCACAGTGAAAAAGTCAGAAATGAATGATATCCCTAATAATTATATCTTCAGATCCAACTTTGCCCCAAATTCACATATAAGCCCAATTCAATCTGATACTCAACTGCAGGTCCAAGGATCTTGTTTGCAAATATGTTCCTTGTTGAAATGACCGTATTACCTCTTGTTTGAAAATTAGAGAATCATCATGTGATGGCTCTGTTCGACCCTAGTTTTCTTCCTTTCTCTTTTTCTCCTCCACTCTTCTTTTTCTTCCTCTTCCGATAAGACATATTCGTTGAGGCAATCTAAGGCATTGATATCGGGAATCCAAGAGGCAATGACGAAGAAGCTGATAGAGAAAGACGAAAAGATCCAGAGGATGGGGAAGATGAATTGGGTCCTTCAAAAAAGAGTGAAAAGCTTGTGTGTGGAGAATCAAATCTGGAGGGAACTGGCCCAGACTGATGAAGCCACCGCGAATTCCATGCGCAGCAATCTGGAACAAGTTCTCGCGCACGTCGGCGAGGACAGCCACGACGGCGGCAGACCGGCTCCCAGGCAGACGACGCCGAGTCAAGCTGCAGAAGCGCCGACGAGGAAGGACAGTGCACAATGCGGCTGGTGCGGCGACAACGTCGGGCGGAAGGATGTGTAAGAAGTGGTCAGAGAATCGATAGTGCTGTTGCTGGGAATTAGTTTCCTGCTCGTCCTACCTGGGATAAGATCTTAATTTGGATGGTCAAATTTAAAATATTATTATTTTATTATTATATATTATATTTATTTAAATAAAAATTTATAAAAATTATAAAATAATTTTAATAAATTTTTTATTTTTAATCCACTCTAAATTTAATTTAAAATGTTTAATTTAATATTAAAATTTTTATAATTAATATATATAGCTTATTTAGATATACAATTCAGGACTATATTAAAAATAAAAAATTTATTAAAATTATTTTATAATTTTTATTTAAATAAATATAATATATAATAATATTTTATCCATATTTAATTTTAACCATCCACTACTAAAAAATTAAATTTAACGAGGGACGAATCCCTCGCTAAATGCCATTTTTCATAGTTAAATTGCATTTTAACTATAAATTTTATCTCTCACTAAATTTGTAGTTAAAAAAGGGCTCGCTAAATTTAGCGAGGAATTGTATTTCCTTCGCTAATTAGTGAGAGATTTAGCAAGGGATTGAATCCCTCGCTGATCCCTCGCTAAATATGCTTATATTTAAAAATAATTATGCCACATCACTCGCCATGTGTGATGTCAACTTGTGACATGTCATCAACAACCTCATGCTTTGTCAACCACTATGCGACAACTCATGACACGTCATTGTCCACCTTGCGCCATGTTACTTGCTCCTTACCATGTGACAACTCATGACACGTTATTGTCCACCTTGCGCCATGTTACTTGCTCCTTATCATATCATATATTCATCATGTTTATGTCAAAGCCAAGGTTTGAACCCTTGACCTCATACCTTCCAAGCTTTATGCTCTCCTTCTTTGCCAGTTGAACTGAAAGGCACCTACAAGCATTATATGATAAATTATATATATATATATATATATATATATTATTATTTAACTACATAAATATATCAAATAATATATTATAAAAATACACACATATACATATTACATTTTATTTTCAATTATTAATATGTTAAAATATTTATATTTTATTTAAATTATTATTTTTATATTTTTTAATAAATATTATTTTATTAATGAAAATCAACTTAAAATAAAAAAATATTAAATAATTTTATTATGAATATTTTAGTTAATTTTTAAATTTAATTATTATTTTTAAATAAAAATAATTAAATGTATAATTAAAAGTCATTGTCAAAGGTAATTTTTTTTGTAGTAATTAGCTAGGGATAGAATCTCTCGCTAAATCCCTCGCTAATTATCTTATTTTAGAAATGGATTGACAGTCCTTCACTATTTTCCTTACTAATTCTCTTATTTTAGAGAGGGATTGACAGTCCCTCGCTAATTTCCTCGCTAATTTTAAGTCAAGCTACGAAATCAACATCCCTCACTAATTTCCTTGCTAACTTGGTATTTTAGAAAAGAATAGATGATCCCTCACTAAATTTCTTCACTAATTTGCATTTTTCTAGTAGTGATCTATTTTTAAATCTGGATAGTTCATATCTCATCTCAAGGATGAGCACATGACGCTTATCTTTGGGATGACCCTAGCCATGCAAGCACCTATGTCTGTATACAATGTGGGACTCGATTTGGGTGTTCATTATTTTGATGAGATCTGAACCATGCAGATTTTGATCTAGATAGTCTAGATTTAACCCATTATTATTATTATTATTATTATTATTTTTTTTTTTTTTTTAAAATAAAGATTTATAAAAATTATAAAATAATTTTAATAAATTTTTTATTTTGAGGGGGAAGTATATTTAATTTGAAGAGTCCAATTTAATATTAAAATTTTTATAATTAATATATATTGATTATTTAGATATACTCTACACAATTAGGACTATATTAAAAATAAAAAATTTATTTTAAAAAATATATATATAATTTGAATGGATTATCGTGATGAGCACCCAAATTAAACTCATATAATGTGCGTGTCCACAGTTCGGAACTGTCCGGTATGCCATTCCAGCATGAACGCCAATGTTCATGTCAACTTCTCTCAGCAATTTTTCCTTTTTCATTTTACCTGTTCGAAGAACAGATTTCGGAAGGGGGGAAAACAAAACAAAACTTGAAAATTCTTTTATTGATACACCTTCTTCTTCTGGTTCTCTTTTTTCTTTTTTTGACTCTGTCTGGTTCTTTTTTGTTGGGATATGATCATATGAATGCAATGATAATTTAACTTGTTTGATATTAAGAAGAAGAGACACAAATTGGTGTGAGTAATGAGTAATATAATGTTGATTAATTAGAGGGTGGACGCTGGACATGGAGCTGGAGGTGTATAAAGCAAAAGGAGGTTGCTTTGCTTGGACTGCCTCAACGAATATGTCTCCTCATGAGAGGAAGAGAAAGAAGAGCGGGGTAGAAGGGAGGGGAAGAAAACCAGGATCGGACAGCCATCGCATGGTGATTAACTGATTATTTTTCTTATCGAACGAAGGGTAATATGGTCATTTCAACGAGGAACATATTTTCAAACAACGTTCTTGGGCCTGCAGTGGAGTGTCAGATTTAATTGGGCCTTATATGCGAATTTGTTGCTTCCAAGGGCCTTCTGTTAGATTCTCCCTTGTCCAATTTGGAAGGTGATCTTGCGATTAAAAACAATGCTGAGCGGCTTCCTGTTGATGCTCCTGTTTTCGGAGAAATTTCGGATCCAATTTAAAATTGCTCGTGGCAAACGGTTAGTTCCAACTTTTCCTTCTGAATTATTCCTCTGAGAAGAGGAATGAAGAGATTCGCCGAACAATCTGAAATCAACCAGCCAATGATTCTTTGCAGAAATCTTAAAAAAGAAGAAGAAGAAGAAGAAGCCCCGTCCCTGAATTATCATCTCCTGCATGCCAGAGTTTATTTCCTGCGCAACACACAGATTCCAAATAGTTAACCTAACCATTCCATGAAATTCTTGATTAGTGACTTGATTTCTTTTCCACCAAATTAGACTGATCAACAGCACAATTTTCCTAACTAAACTCTGATTTCCTTCCCTAAGGAGCTTCATGAAGAAGTTTTTTTTGATTAAGAAGGCAAGCAAAAGCTTGGAAGTACAAGGAAAATACAGAAAACACTGAACAGAAAGGCTAAGCCTAAGCAGATACCAAATGTTGTAAATCACTTTGATACATCCCCATGTAATAATCAGGAATTGTGGACAGGACAATTGTATTGAAAACATCATGATGTGCATTTTTAGCAATGATGTCAGCACATCTTAGGGCCTCCCGCAGACAGTGGAAGATCTCAATTTCCCAATCATGGAAGAGAAGCTCCCTAGTTTCAATAATTTCTATTTGCAGTGGGTGGTCAAGACCATGTTCTCTCCAAAGATAGTTGAGGGCTTCTTGTGAATAAGTAAACAGTTGGATTTTCTTGAAATTGTAGAGCTTACCAACTTCTAGCCCAATCTTGATAGCAAGAATTTCCGCAGCTGTTGAGGGATAGGATCCTAAATTCTTCTTGAAACCTAGTATCCAATCTCCCTTGTTATTTTGAATGACTCCTCTACAAGCTGCTTCAAGGTGTCTTCGAACCGAACCATCAACATTTATTCTCATCACACCTAGGGGAGGTGGGTGCCAAAAAGTTGTTGCAGGTTCAGATGCTGGGAAAATCTTGTGATTGAGCTTGTCTTTTGTGGTGCTTTCCATCAAGTTATGCATGCAACAATGAAGGATCTCCTCAGGATTTGCACCTTTGCCTTCGAATATGAATCTACATCTTTGTGTCCATAATAGCCAGCAGATATAACTAAAAGTCTTGAACCAATGCCATTTTTGTACTTGTTTAATGCCTGGGTTGTGAGTCAAGTTCCATCTAAGCCAAACCTGTAAGTCACAGCTAAAGAAAGCAGATATATAGTTAGGATGAATCAAGGCTCTCCAAATATGTTTTGCTCTCTCACAATCTCTCAAAATGTGTCTGACACTCTCCTCACCATGGTACTCAAAAGGACATTTAGGTGAAGAAGTAAGGCCTCTCTTAGCTCGAAGAGAGTTTGTGAGAATTTTTCCACAGGTGACTTGCCATACAAATAGTTCACTTTCTCAGGTAGCTGACATTTCCATATTTTACACCAAAAGGGATCTACTATATCATTTTCAGACTTTGAGATGAAGGCATAAGCAAATTTCACAGAGAATTTTCCATCGTGAGATGGTCTGTCACCACAACACATCATTAGAAGTAGAAGATGGTGGTTTTGTGCATTTCAAGATATTAATTACATGAGCTAGAAAGTATTTAGACCATTCAAAGAAATTCCATGCTCCCGAAGGTAACACAAAGTCACTGACAGTTGTTGTGTGGTTTATCAGATTCAAGTTTTAGTAGTAAGAGAACTTAATGGCTTATCAAAAGGTGCCCATAGGTCCCACCAAAAGTTAGTAGATTTGCCATTATGTATTTTCTTTCCAACCCCCATAAGAAATGTGTCCCACTGCAGTGATTACTTTCCAAACAAGGAAAGAGGACTTAAACTTGACAATAGTGGGAAATTCTTCAGAACCGCAGTTGTATTTGGCTTTGAGACATTTTACCTATAAGCAGCCTTGATTTTTCAATAAACCCCAACAAACCTTCATGATGAAAGTTTTATTTTGGATTTCAAGGTCTTTAAGTCCTAACCTGCCAATCTTTTTGCTCTTTATAATGTTCTTCTAAGATACTAGATGCATTTTCTTGAAATTTTCATTCTGGCTCCAAAGGAAACTACAACTAAGTTGCTCAATCTCTTTCAACACTCCTTTTGGTAGAAGGGTAGATTGCATTTGATAAGAAGGTAGAGCATTGAGGACCGATTTAATTAAGACTGATCTCCCTACCATAGATAAAAATTTGCTTTTCCAAGTTGATAAGCGAGCACGTACTTTCTTAGTAATATGAGAGAAGGTAGACTTGGTGATTTTGTTGGATAAGGGGGCGCAGCGGAAGATTAAAATTTCAAAGTCCCTATCCTGATATGGACCAAACGAACTCGTTTAAGTCAATGTAGATAGAAGAGTTACTTTTTAATTCTTTAAACTTAGGGCACGTTCTCTTCAAGAGTTTGGATCTCAGGAGCTAACAACGTAGATCTGCTCCCTCTACCAATATCCACACGAACAGCTCTCTAACTCGAATAGTGTGCTTGCATTTCCAGCATCCGTTCTTCTTTGAATGTTATTTTTTCTTTTTATAGGGTGTTTCGTGGCTCTCAAAGTATTTTTGCCATCAGAACTTTTTTAATTCTCTCCTCCTTTATAAAGAACGTCCCTATTTATATATAGTATATAGATAAGGGTTTTTGTCTTCCACTTAAAAGCCCACAAAATTTAATTAAATTTATTTCATAAATTTAATCCATAATATCATATCTAATTTGAATTTATCTTATAAATTTAAATTATAAAACTAATATGATATTCTCTTATATCATGTTAGTTATTAAATTTAATTTATCATATAAAATTAAATTTAAAACTAACATAATATAACATAACATAATATATATCACATATACATATTATATTATATATACATGAATATATATATACACATATATATTTTAAATATATATATATATTATCTATATTTAATTTTATATATCATATATATCATATATATATATTTGATATATGTATATACACACACACATATGGATATATATATATATATAATTATATTTTGAATTTTATATTTCATATAAATACAAATATAAATATTTATCAAATAAATATTCAAATATATATATATATAAATAAAATTCATTCACCCTATATTACATTCATTGAATCTAAATATATTCCAGATTCAATGAACTTGGACATTATAGCTCGAGTTGGGCTATTCTTGTGTGCGACCCTGTAGGCCTATATGAAATTGACAGTGGGCTAATTACGCTATTAGCCCATAAGTCACAAATGGCCTCTAGCAAGACATTGCAACTACCCAATTTATATGGGGATCAATGATCTGATATAACCTATCATGCAACCATATCACATCCCTTTTGTCACGTGATATTTCGGTCAAGTATGAGATATGAAATTGTCTTTCTCCTTTACCTGATCGTTACTTTCTCGATCTCTGAGTAGACTGACAGTAGCAATGAAAAAAATCCTTTCCATTATAGTATGACCATATATTTTCTCAGTCTTACTCATCGAGGGGCCCAGTAATATCTCTTACTTAATGTGAGGAACAAATTCCATCTTGATAACTCATATTCCTTTGCATGAATATCACTAAACTTAATCATAGTCTTTATAATCACCAGGTGATCAGTCAAAGGTGACTTTTGACAAGGTCAAAGTTCGATGATCATCATGTAAGAATCCATGATGATCTCAGGTTAAAGGGCTTAGTGATATAGTTACATATGAGATAAGCTTATGACTTATACCATGCAGCTTTCTTATAGCGGGTCGATCCAGCACCTTGTACTCTTTTAAGTGCCTATGACTTTAATTTGTATATCTATAATTAATCAAAGTCATACTAGTCTTATTTCATCTATGATCCCTCAAAGATGACCGACCAGGGACATTTAAGATAATTACTATAGTTTGTCCAGGGATATAGTTATCATATGGAATATGCAATTGTTATGATAATAAAAAAAATTCATTAAATAACAATGTGCATAGTATAATGATTAGCCTTAGGGCACAATTTTCAATAGATGCTTGAGTGAATAAGAGGAACCTTAAGGTATTTTCCCAAGTCTCTAGTGATGCCAATACCAAGAATATGACATAAGGAAGAGGAGCGGTTCAAATGAACATTTTTGGAAAAGAAAGCCTTTGATTTGGCTAAGTTGATTTTATGTCCCAAAACAACACAAAAAATCTTCATGACTTGCTTGATTACCTCCATTTGATTCTCTGTCACCTCTGCAAAGAGGAGAAGGTCGTCGGCAAAAAAGAGATGAGAAACACAAGGCCCATTATTACCAAAAACCTAAGGCTTCCATCTTTACGCATTACATTCAGTTTGAATGAGGTGGCTGAGACGTTTCATAGATATGACAAAGAGCTAGGAACTAAGAGGATCACCTTGCCTAGCAGCTCTAGAAGGGTTAAAAAAAGGTCCTTCCTCACCATTCCAGAGTACTTTCAAGGATACTGAAGAAATTGTAGCCATGATGATATCCACAAAACTACGGTCTAGACCAGGGCACATGAGTGAATTATCTATAAATCTCCAATCCAATCTATCAAAATCCTTTTTCATATTAACTTTGACAACAATAAAGCCCTTTCTACCCGATTTTGTTCGCATATGATGAATGATCTCTTGTGCTATGATGATATTGTCACAGCTAGAGCGCCTTGAGATAAAACTACATTGATAAGGCGCAATAATCCCATTCATGATAGATTGAAACCTATGGGGAAGCACTTTGGTGATAATTTTAAAGCTAATATTACAGAGTGAGA